AATTCTCTTGCTTCAGCTTCCAAAAGTGCTCAGATTACATGCATGTACCATTATTTCCAGCTTTGTGTGTAACTTTCTGAGGAACCACCAAATTGTTTTCCACAGTGGCTGAACTTTTCCATCAGCAGAGCACTAGTTCCAATTTCTTTACATCCTCTTCAATACTTGCTATTTTTCTTGTTGCTGTTGCTTTAAATAGCCATCCTAATGGGTGTGACTGCTAAACAGAGCAGCTTTGACTTTCATTTCTCTAATGATTCGTGATGCTGAGCTCTTTCTGTGCTTATTGGTCCACTCATGTCCTTTGATCATTTCTGACTTGTCCTGAGCTTTAGTTTTCTGTATTAAATGTATTGTTTATCTGAAATTTTAGGATACAGCATGAAACTTTCAAGAAATTGTTCCTAGCTGGTTGCTGTAGACCACATCTGCAGATCTCACTGTTAGTTAAAATCTAGGCATTGGGTCCACATCACCTAACTTGATGCCCAGCTGAGCTTTGGCACAGCTGCATACTAAGTAGGGAGCACATGTCAGGCTGAAAGGCCAGGCTACAGCACCTCTAGGGTGGGTGCTGCCCAGGAAAAGCCCATGTGCAAATGCAGAAGCCAAGCCTCTGGGAGTCTCAGGGGCTCAAAAGTCACTTTAAACTGTGTCAAGTCCAACACCAGGGTCACTCTAACCACCCCATCCCACTTTAACTTCTAGGCTTCTGAGAAAATGAGGATTCCGAATAGTTTTACCAGGAAGTAGGAGAAATATACAAAGATACCTTAGAAATAAATAAGAGAGTTTAAACATTGGTTTTTTCAATGGGTAAAATTGTTAACTCACAGGAGAAAATCAAATACCTTAATAAACATGAGCAATGCTTGATCCCACCAGTAATGCTGGGGCAGGAGATGACTTGAGCTCAGGAGTTCAAGAGAACCTGAGCAACATAGTAAAACCCTGTTACACAACAAGAAACTGGAGCTTGCCTTCTAGGTGCCTGAGTGCAGCCCACCACCAGCTTACAGAGCATCCAGAATCCAGAGCTTTGCTGAGCCAAGGCCACCCTCTTCCAGTGAGGATCGAGCACTCTACAGGTGCCACAGCCTGGCTTGACATGTACTGCCTGTTCTGGAGTGTGCCCTTGAGTTGGCAGAGCCTGTGTCTGACCTGCCCAATACCTGCCCCATCTTTCACATCTCCCCAATTGTGTCTCGGTGCTTGCTAGCTTCTTGGAGGACCCAACACACCCATACACACATGCACATGGTGCCCAGGTCAGGGGTGGGGCTGATAGAAGGTAAAGTGCCACAGATGACTGGGAGGAAACTGGCAACTTGTATAAATGCCTTAGGATGTGCATCTCATGCTGCCCCCCTGCCCCAGTTCCACTTAGGGAAGCTGTTCTAGGAAAATAACCACAGATTTTCATACACAGTTTGTCAGAAGGAGACTTCGTGGCACTGTTTATAATAGCCTGAACTTGAAAGCCTCCTAAATGTCCAACTGTGGAGGATCTGGCTCCACCCACACAGTGGAATGTTGCACGATCATTCAAAAGGACCTTGAGGCGGCATATTTTTCCATGGGAAAGTGCCTTCACGTGGCATCTGGCGAAAGGGCAGGTCGTACAGCAAACCCCTAGTGCAGGCCAGCTTGGGGCTGCTGTCACACACAGCTCCTTATGCCTCCTCATGCCTCTGCAGGGAGGCACAGGGCTAAGAGAGGTCAAATCACTTGTCAAGGCCCTGTGGTCAATAAGGAAGAAAGCCTGAGGTCTGGCTTTACTGCACCCCCACAAGAAAGAGAGAGGAGGAGGATAAGGACAGCCACTCTCTCTGGGGAGGAGGATCAGGGCAGTAAATGTCCTTCTAACTGAACTGATGTCCTCTGTGGTTTCTACATGAGCTATGTAGTGCTCTTAATGTTAAGAAAAGGAATGAAAAGGCATGGCTTTTATTCCAATAGCATATTTGTCATTTATTTTAAATTTTATATAAAATATCTTCTTTCAAACAATTCTTTCTAGTCATCTATGTTTTGTAACTGGCCACTTAGTCCTTTATATCAGAGCCTTCGAAGTGTCCTCATCTGCACCCACTACCCCAGGTCACCCTCCCAGGGAGGGTCAGCTCTTTCAGCAGTGCAGACACGCCCCACTAGGGCGACTCAACACAAAATAACAGAAACATTGGGATGGCCAAGACTCAGGAGCCAGAAATGTATTACATGAGCCCTACAGTGGATATCAGACAGCTATTAAATCCTATTGTTTTGTTTCATTTTTTTGTCTTTTTTTTGAGACAAGGTCTCACTACGCAGTTCAGGCTGGCCTTGAGCTCACTTTGTAGCTCAAGCTGGCCTCCAACTCATAACAATCCTCCTACCTCAGCCTCTTGAGTGCTGGGATTACAGGTGTGCACCACCACGCCTGGCTAAATCTTATTGTTTTAAAGAAATTTCAACCCATGAAAAAATATGCATGAAATGATGTTGCATCTGGATTTATTTTAACCCCCCCCCCCGTTCCACAAATATGCACAAATATGTGTGTTTGTCTGTCCCTCCAAAAAATATATACATATACCACAGTGGTAACTGTGATTTATCTCTAGTGAATGTGACTGTGGATGATTTTAATTTTTTAAGGCTTTTTCCCCCTTATATTTTCTTAATAATGTACAATGAACTGCTGCTACTTTCAAAATGGAACAGAACAGAGCAAGAAAATGAACCAGAGCTGGCTGACCAGGAATACTAAGCACGGGTTGGGGCCTGCGTGTCTGGGAGCTGTGTGTTTATGGCCTGCACTTGGAGACAGGCTCTCCAGGCTTCCAGGAAGAGGCAACAGCATTTCCTATAAATCCACACACATCTCAGTATGATCTGAGTGGGACCAATACTGAACCTGAGCAATTGGATTGAACGCACACAGAGCAACAGCCCTGAACACTGAGGCCTGTCACCAATGAGCATAATTGTCCTTTTCAGGGGTGTGCCGAGGGGGTCCTTTGAGGTCAGGAGCATTGTGCCATGCCCAGTGGGTTCCATCCGGTTTTGTACTTTCTCAGAGGAGGACAGCCCTTTTCCCCTCATTCTCATACATTGCCCTCTTGTAGATACACTGGGAAATCCCCCTGGGAAATGGGTGGACCTGGGCAGTCCCAATGATTCCACCCCTCCTCAGAAAGCTTCCCCGGCTCTAACCACTCCTTTGGGGTTGGACTGGGAGTAACACTCCTGCCTGTCTTTACTGCCTATCTCTTCTGCACACAGGGGGGCTCTGGGCTTGAGGGGAGCGGGGAGCGCCAGAGTTCCTGGCAGCCTCTGCACTTCCCAGTGGTGTGCAGCAGGACCCAAACCCCAGAGGGCCCTTGTGACCTCTTTATACACTGGTTAAATGTGAATGGCTCTCCTCGAATCTCGGTTTTCCGCATCTTGAATCTTGGCTTTCACAGTGAGCATCATGAAGTCTGTTGGCCAGGGCCTGTGTGAGTAAATGCAAGTTGCCTGCTAGCTGAGTACGTGTGCGAGAGCACAGGGACCCTGATAGGAAATGGGTAAATCATTGAACCAGCTATTCTTCTCAAGATCTGTTAAAAACAAGGCCATGGGTCACTCCAGGGATCCTTGAGGTCTAGCTGGCTCTAGGGCAGTGCAGTAGTGGGCCTGGGTCTTCCCTTATCCATCCTGCCGGTGGACCCAGGACAGTAATGTCAGGAAAAGCCCCAGCAGTGCCCACTGGTCTAACCCCTCAGTGCTGGGGTGGTCTTAAGTGGGAACCTTGCTCTTTTTTCCCCTCTACAGAGGAACTTTGGTGTGAAAAGCCTGTGACAGGGAAGGGCCAGGGTGGCGCAGACATGGATGTGCCAGATTGCACCATCTCGTGGCACAGGGGCTGCCCTTTTGCCTGCCAGGCGGAAGTACCCTTCAGGATGGTCAGTGGGCAAATCTGAACAATCTAAGTTAAATTCAATTCTAAATTCAAGTACAGCTTGAATTTCAGATCAACAACAAATAATTTTCTTAGTAAAAGTGTGTCCCTTACAATATTTGAAACACATTTATATCATTGTTGACCAGAATTTCAAACTTAACTAGGGAATGCAAGATTTTAGTATGCAGCTGTCCCTTCCTGCCTTCAGCTCCCTCTGATCTTTGAGGTGTCTTGATCCAAAACTGCTGCCCCAATGACCCAGATCCAGGATGGAGAAGACATCTCAAGAGACCTAGGGGAAAGGCAGCAGCAGAAGGGTGGGGGTGGTGCTCCTAGCCTGGAAATGCCACCCTCCCCTCCCCAGCCTCACTACTGGGCCTTTAGAAGAATCAGGGTCTTCCAGTTTTCCTGTGCCTGGGAAGAACTAGGGAGGCCTGGGGAGACCTGGGGAGACCTGGGGAGACCTGGGGAGACCTGGTTCTGTCACCCACTTCTAAAGGCCATCCAGAGGGAGAGGGGTCTTCAGTCTTTTCCTCTGAAGGCCTTCTACTGACTAGAGGAGGCCCAGCACATGATGGAGCGGGATCTGCTTTATTCAGTGTCACCTAATGAGACTATCATTGTCATCTTTAAAAAAACACCTTCACAGCCACAACTAGCCTGATGTTTGACCAAGAGTTGAGCACAGCGGCCCAGCAAAATTGACTCATAAAACTAACCATCACAACTAAGCTGTGGTCTGACTACTGGTGTCCCTCCACATGCAGATGATGGAACTTCACCCCTAAGATAGGGGTCCTTTGGGAGGTGATTAAGTCATGAGCGCTCTGCCCTTACAGCAGGTCTTGAGGGAAGCTGTTTATTCTTCCTTGCCCTGTGAGGATGTAGTGAGATAGCACCATCTTAAAATCAGACAGCGGCCTCATCAGACATAATCTGCTGATGCCCTGATCTCAGATTCTCAACCTCCCAAATCGGGAGCAATAAATTTCTTTTTTTTTTTTTTTGGTTTTTCTCCGGTACCAGGAACTGAACTCACGACCTTGCACTTGCCAGGCAGGCGCTTGGGAGCAATAAATTTCTATTATTTATAACTTCTTCAATCTAAAGTATTTTGTTATAGCAGCAGGAATGACCAGGACAACAACCAAAGCTCTTCTCAGGTTCTGGCAGGCCCTGGGAATGGTGCCCACTCTGTCTGCCCATGACTGGGGGCCCTGCCTCTGCTTGCTTATGGTACCCATTCTGGGCCATGGGTCAGACACTGCAGAATCCCCTGACCCACCCCATCTACATGGACATTGCCAGGCCCCCTTCCAGCTGCCATCTGGATTCAAGGATGCTATGCCTGACCTGGGGTCCAAGGTGCTCACATCATTTGGAACAAAGACCGGTACTCCAGAGCCACAGAGAGGCTCCTGGAGCTGGTAAACTTGTTGTTCAGCTAGGCTCCAGCATCACATAACTAACTGCGCCCCTCCCCAGAAAATGTGTGTGTGGAAGCCGGACAGTCTACTGCAGAGACTTTCTGCAAGAGAATCATTCCTCAGCCTCTGCCCTTTCAATTCCTGCTCTGCGAGGCACACAGGGGCGGGGCAGCGAGCAGCCAACTGACAAATGCCACGGCGTTTATGGAGTGTGCCCCGGCAGCCCACGTGGTCAGCAGAGGGCCCAGAGCCCCCGCCGGGATGGTGGTTCTGCGAAGTGGTGTTGGCTGCAGGAGCTATTCATTCTTGTCAGCTTCAAGTTGATCTCTTTTATGCATTTAGCCCAACACTTAAAGGGGAAAATGTCCCTGTTTAAATGTTAACAATGTAAATTCTGCAGGTTTTAATTCTTCTTTCATCTGCCTTCAAGGCAGACATATTCCAGTTAGCAGAGAGGGAAATCTATATATTGGATAAAACTTGCAAATCTGCATCTCCGTCAGGGACCAGTCCACATCGGGTCTGTCCCCGGAGCTTGGGAGCAGGTTGCGGGGAGGGGAGGGCCGCAGGAAGACTGGGTGGGATGAGGGGCTGCCTCATCAATCTCCATCACTGTCTGCTCTTCTCTCTGCTAGTCACTCCCTTCCAGCCAGGGCCCAGCCCCCCACTTGCCTCTGCTGGACATACAGCCATGTCTGCAGCCTAGACAAAAGGTTCGTGTGAGCTCACTGGGGATACCACGGGCCCTCAGAGCAGTCCCAGCCCTGGTGCTCAGTAGCTGCCCTGTCTTTGTGTGTGTGTGTGTGTGTGTGTGTGTGTGTGTGTGTGTGTGTGTGGAGGGGGTGTTCAGGCACTCTGATGGCAATGTAGGGTAATATCCAGATCTGGCAAAGGTTGAGCCTCTCCTGATCTTTTCATTCTGCCCTGTGCCCAACCAACATGCCTGGAGAACAGGCTGCTTCTCCTGGGGCCTGAGCCATGGCGGAGGAGCAGAGGTCGTGTCACAGACTGGTCACAAAGCCACTGTACTCAGACATCCTTTGTCCCCTTCTCACCACTGCCTTCACCGAGGCGGGCCCTGAGGGCAGGTGTACCAATAGAGCACCTGGTCACTTGCTCTCTGGTCAGCTGGTGACATCTACGCCTGTCTCCTTCAGCCCCTGCCCCTGCATCTCCAGGGGAATGGCCCCAAAGCTTGCCCCATCCTGCTCTCCTGAGAAGACTCCTGAGGCTCTGCCATGGTTTACGTTCCAGCCCTGCTGGGGACAGCCCCACCATTCTGTAGCCTTAGCTGCCCCCCAACCCTACATCCCTGAGCCTGCAGGCATTGCTGACAGTCTGCTGGGAACTGGCTCTGGACTCACCTCCACTGCAGAGCCTTCCCTCAGCTTGTCACACTTCCTGATTTGGATGCATCTGGGCAGGACCAGGAGGAGGAGCCATTCCCTAGTTGCAGCAATCTGGCTATGCAACTCTGCCTCCCTTCCCAGGAAGTCCCTCCCTCCCAGCACCAGCACTGGCCTCCCACACGAACTCCAGGTTCTGCTCAGACAGTGCTTGGCTGGAGTCTCCTCCTCCAGAAAGTCCTCCCTGAACCCCCAGGGTATGCAGTTCCTCCTTCACTCCCACCTTTCCCGTCAGAGCTGATTGCCTGAACGAAGCATCAGGTGTCTGATGACCCAGGCACCTGAGAGCACCAACGAGATGGCCACTGTCCTTGGCCCATCTTGGTTCCCTGAAGCCTGAGTCTGATCACTCAGGTTTACTGAACAAATGACTGAACAAATGAATGGGGTGTGTGTAGCATGGGGGTCTTTGGGGCCTTGCAGGTTTCTAGGTACCACAAGACAGTGCCCTGCCTTGCGGGTCACTTACCCTCTGTGGACAGACCCCTGGGCTGGAAAGGGGCATTAAGGACAGATGTTCTGACGTGGCTTGCTCTGGGACAATTCTGTCCTTGGTTCCTCACAGGTGCTGGTACCCCAGGCTTCAGAATAAACCCCAAGCGTTTCCCTGCTGGGTACAGCCCCAGTCCCCCACCCCATGTCTGGTCTGCGACTATGCTTTTCCTAGAAATAGGGAGGGTATCATGCAAGGCCACCAGAGGGGTACCCCAGCTGTGCTTCCCACATGCACAGCCTCAAGTAGGAGCCCCATGGTCAGACAGACCCACAATCCCTGTATTCTAGAATACAAGGCCCAGCTCCCATCACTCTATCTTCTTTGCTTGGCCCCAAGGTCCCTGGCAAAGTAAGGGCCACCTTCGTGCTGCCTCTGAAATTGACAAGTGGCCCCAGCATTCTCAAGGGCTCTGGACCAGATCTGGGCTCCACCCCCGTGATGGTGCCTGGCTCCCACTGCTGTTTGCTAGTGGCAGTTTACCGGAATGAAGGCTCAGGGCTTTGTGGAGGTTGGGGATATTGTTGCTGACAAGCAAGCTTGGAGGTAGGTAGGTGGGACTACAGTCAGAACCCCTGCAGCCTGCAGAGACACTTGGAACACACACATCAAACAGAAGTCCCAACATACATGCAAGAAGATACATACACGCACACAAGCAGGCACAGACCCAGGACACTCAGACCTATTTCTCATGAAGACCTGCAAACATAGGTTCCTTGGATAGTGTCACTTATACCCCCCCTCATGAACACACATGCACACACCTGCCCTGCACATCCCCCACTCTCACACCACACGTCTTCCCACCTGGGTGTCCCCCGCCTACATCCACTGCAGCCCTGAGGGGAACAGGCACACAGGCCTGGAAGCTGGCTGCAGTTTCCTAGGAAACGCTGTCACCACTGTGGCATCACAGAGCCTGGGAGGCCTCCAGTACGTGCCTGACAAGCCCTCAGTGCCCACCATGGGGCTCATGCAGCCTGTGGGCGTGCGATGGATAAAGAAGAGATGCCCAGTTCAAAGGCCTGGGTAGGCAGGAGGCGATGGGGCAGGTACAGCTCACGCCTACCCCAAAGTCCCTGCCTCCACTCAGCACCCTGTCCCAGGTTCGTAGGGGAAGGAAGCTTCTGATCTGCTGAACTTTTCCAGGTCTGCAGTGACTATAGGGTAGAATTCCTTCATGAGATATCTGCCCTTCTAGAGATAAAAGCAGCTGGTGCAAGGAAGGAACTGAAAGAGAATGATTCCTGGAGCCCAGCTCCTGGAAAGAAGGCAGGACAAGGACTGAGAGCTACAGTCCCAGCATACAGGGAAGAGGCTGACGGCTCTGGCAAGGGGTCCAGACTAGAGCCTCATTTCCGGGATACAGTGCTTGTCCTGGATCTGTACTGGAGAGGGACGAGAGGCCACTTCCCAAGACCCTTCACTGTCTTATGAGCAACCTTGGGAGTGCATCTAGGTACCTATATGTTAATGGGACCCAGGCAAGACCAAGAGGATGAGAAGGCTCCTGCTCATGTCCTGAATATGTGGAGGGGAAGGTTCATGCTCTCCCACAGCCACCAGGTCAGAGCTTGCAAGGCATGCTGGGGACTTCCACTGGAGCTCTATGGGGAGCAGAAACAGTGCCTGGGAGGTGTGGACACCAGTGAGGAGTGCATGAAATCAAAGTCATAACTATGGAAAAACCTCCAGCATACCCTGTACAATGACTTCTTTGGTTAGAGCCAGCCCCCACTGTAGAGAGACTGGTGGTCTCTATAGAAGGGATGGGGACACTTAGAAAATAAACCCCAACTCCACTTCCCTTTTGCACCAAGTGCCCAGTTCCAGAGAGGCAAGCACTCCTGGGGAGGCAGGCCTAGCTGCCTGACCTTTGTGAACTCAAGCCTGGCTGCTTAGGCTGGCCCCAAGCCCCTGGATCTGGTGGGAGGGAAGGGAACATACGTGGTCCTTGGAGGAAAGAGATCAAAACAACTGGGGAAGAAAATACTATGAGCTGACAAGGACAGGAGCATGAAAACAGAAGAGGGCCTGGCCAGAGGGCAAGGAACAGAGACCCTGGGTAGCCACCCAGACTGAACCCAAGCTGAGGGCAATACCACTGGGTGCTGGCAGAGCCCTTAGGGCCGCAAAGCCAAGGCTCCTGTCCCTTGAGGCCCACTTCCCCCAAAAGATGGCATTCTCCCTCCTCTGGACCTGTGTGGCCACTTACAAGCACACATTTCCCAAGGGGCAGGGCTTGCTGACCAAGAGCCATGTCCAGCCGCAGCCCACACCTGTTCTGCCTGGCTTGTCTGCAGTGCGGCAGAGACTGTCCCTGCCTCAGGAAGCCTCCCACACAAGGGCATGAGGAGTCTGTAAGACTGTGATGGTGTTGGCGTATGGACAGTGGTGGTGATGATGATGATGGAGGGTGGGAGTGATGACGATGATATAAAGGTAGTGGTGATGATAGAGACACAGGTACATGGTGGTGGTGGTGACAGTGATAGTGATGAGGATGATGGTGGTGCTGTGTCTGAAGCTAACTTTTTAGACCTTTAGCCTGCAGTCAGCAGTGCCCTCTGACACTTGCTGGGCACCCAGAGCACCTACTCACTGGCTCTTCTCCTTCCTTGTCCAGGGTTTCTCACAGTCACTTTCTCCATCACGGAACGCATTAAAATGCAGCTGCCATGCCTGCATTAATCACACCCCCTTTCTCAGAGCCTAATCAACTTCTAATTAACCCTGTTTCTGTCAGTGTGAGATAACTGAATTCACTCCGAGTCTTTCTGTGGATGGAACAGTTGGAGCCCACCTGGCTACTTGTGACGGTACAGATCTTAAAAATAACATGCTTTGGTTTTGAACACATATTTTGCTTTGCTGTTGTGTTGTTTTGTTTTTGTGGGGCTGGGGATGAACGCAAGGTCGTACAAATGCTAGGCAAATGCCCTACCAGTAAGCCACACCCTCAGCCCTGAAAACGTGGTTTTGGTCTGTTAGTATATGTTCTGATTCACAAGATTTCATTGCTTAGTTCATAAGGACAACAAATTTGGACAAGAAAACATGGCATCTTTGTTTTCATCAAGCTCTGATTGAAATAGCATTTCCTTCCATGAGGCATAGGAGCATCCCTGCAACTTTGTCTCTGACAGAAACACCGATGTGTTCATTTCACTTTACAGTTATTGCTGATATTTCCAAGGCTGTCCACTTTCCTCCACACCTCATGACCCCGAGGCTGTCAGATGCTGGGCTTTGACACGCAGCGCACTGTGGGGTTCACACGCTGCCTTTTTGCACCTGTGTCACCAATATTTTGACAACTATTTCACTGTAACTGGTTTGCTTTGTAGCCCTCTGTGTTTCTGCTTATTTAAAACAGTAACAGGCAGCATGTGGGGCAGAGATACTCTTCCCTAGGATATTGTGATCATGGGAACACAACGCTGTGTGCTTGTCAAACCCCACAGGAAGTGCAACACCAAGAGTGCACCCTCATGGAAAGGATGGATGTTCACTGATGACAGTATGTCTATATCGGCTCATCAATTATACCAAAAAAGCCACACCTTGCAAGAGGTAGATAACAGGGGAACTGTGTGAGGTACATGGAATCTTTGGTACTATCTACTCAATTTTCCGTAAGCCAAAAACTGCTGTAAAAATAGTCTATTAAATTTTAAGAGCCTATTCATTATAAAAACAATACATTCTAGGATGTCAAAGGTCCACCTCTGGAGCACTGTAAGAGCATGGGGACAGCAGGCCCCTCACCAGCAGGCCTGTAGCTCATACACATCAGATCAGGGGAGTGCTGCTTATCTCTGCACTGGGGAGTGGGTTGGACGCCCTGGGCCACCACAAACCCAAACACTCTCACTAATTCCAGCCACAGGACAGCAAATACCTGTGGGGGCAGCTGCATGGAAGGAATGATCATGCTGAAAATGTACCTTAGCACTGATACAACTCACACGCACACACACATACACAGGTACACACATGCATATGCACATACAGGCACATATACATAGGAACACATGTGCACACACACATACATGTGCCCAATATCAGCCAGTGGCCTCACGCTTCAACACATCTGGCATATTCCATTCCCAGCTTTGAGGATCTGAAATTGTTTTTCACCTAAATATTTTCCATTCTGAACACACACAGGGTTTAATCTCAGTCATTATATTCAGAGTAATTAAACCAAAAACTCATTTCTGCTTTTTTTTGTGTGGGGATGCTGGGAATTGAACCCAGGGCTTTATGCATGCTAAGCAGTCGTTGTACTACTGAGTTACATCTTCAGACTCCTCCCCATATTTTATCTAGAGACACGGTCTTACTAAGTTGCTAAATTGCCCCCTTAGGCCTCTAACTTGTGATCCTCCTGTCTCAGCCTCCTTAGTAGCTAGGATTACCACATTCATCACCACACCAGATAAAAAGCTCATTTCTGGAAAAAGACAAGGTATTTTGAGTTTGTGCATCAATATTTAACATCTGCCTAACATTCTGGATACTGCCCTCGTGGGTAAAATAATTTCTACTCCCAGTAAACACTGATCCAACTGCAAAACCTGAGGGAGGGTGGAATAGTCTCATATGAAATATCAGCCAGGCTGCCAGTCTGGGATACATGGTTTGATAGGATTGTTTCCTTCCCCATTTTAAAATCTCAGCACTAAATTCAGCTCAATAATCAGGCTAACTTATTAGCCTGCTCTAGAGCAAATGTGCTTGAATCTAAACCTTAACAATTAAACAGCTCAGGGGGAAATGTATAACCTGAGAGCCAGGATTCCACCAAACCGAGGAGCATGTGGTGTTTGTGGGCGGGTGCTGCAATGAGCAGGAGTTTTGCTGTATGTGGTGCGACAGTACAGAACACCTACAATCAGTGTCACTGCATGGAAAGCAGGCTGGGCTTCCCTTTCTGCAGAAAGCAAGCTGTGTGTAATGAAACTGCAGACATTAGGGCCACCAAGAGTAGTGCGAAGCAGGGTAAATGCCATGTGCTGGGGCCTGCCTGTGTTGTGCTCACCTGAACAGACTGTGGGCACATGAACAGGCTCTCAAGCCCAGAGGCAGGTAAAGAAGACCAGTCCAAGGAAGATGGCACCTCTGGGATGAACCTGCTCTATTCTGCAAGAGCACACTGCCTGGGCCCCACAGCCAAACAGAGCCATGGACAAACTGCAGGAGTGGGCTGCATATCTCCTTGCTCTCCTCCCTCCTGTGGGACAAGCTCTGATGGAGTTCTGCTCACCACATGGGCAACTGCAGTTAAGGACCATCCCAAGGGGCTGGAGCAGCCACAGAGAGACGGATGATGCAAATGTGGTTCTGAATAGCACCTGCAGTTGAGGAACCTGAGTACTGGGATAGGGCCCTGCAGGAGGCCCCATTCCTGCCAACTGCCCTCTTAGCACTTGCTCTGGTGGGGCAGGGTAGGTACCCCAGAATCTAGCAAGGATGGAGAAGACGATGTGAGGCCCTGGGACCACAGCCAGGATGGAGCTCAGACTCTCTGGACACCCGTCCATTAGGATAGATTTGGCAAGTGGACACAGTGGTCTACCTGAGACTGTGAGTCATTGTCATGACAACTGCAGGAAGATGATCCAAATCACCCTCACCAGTGGGATCCCACCATTCCTCAGCCAGGTGTAACCCCAAGGAAAATACAAACATGCATCCACACAGACGCGGTCCAGAGGTGGAAAGAACCCAAACACTATCAGCAGATAAGCACATAAATAAAATGTGCCAAGTCCATCCGAGGGAACATTACTCGGCCATAAATATGAACGAGGCCTTGACACACACTACAACATGGATGACTCTCGAAAACATGTTCAGTGTAAGAAGGTAGAGAAAAATCACATACTGGGTGATTCCTTTGATATTAAATATCCAGGACCCACAAATCCCTAGTGCCAGAAAGCAGAATAGTGGTTATCGGGAATTGGATTGGAGGTGACAGCTAAACGGTTCCAGGCTTCTTTCTGAGGGAATGAAATCTTTCCAAAGTGGACACTGGCAATGCTGCACATGTCTGTGAATATACTACAAACAACCACACAACTGTACACTTTAGATGAGTGAGTTATGTCTCAACAGACTTTTTTTTAAAGATTTGTTTCCTGTCTCCCCAAAGTGGGAGACCAGATGGCTCCAGGGTGTCTCAGGTTCCCACTGTTGGTCTCTGCCATGGATCTTCACCCTGAAACCATGCAGCGACTGCCTCAGTAATTCATTTTGACTGTTCTTGGTGGCAAATGGATACTAGGAGAAATTCATGCTCGAAACTGTATCCACGCAGAGCAGGGATCCAAAGCTGGGTGATCTCCACTGTAATGGGCCCCTAAAACTGTCCCCTTTCTACTCAGAATCAGGAGTTCCTGTCTGCCTGTGCCGAGCAGCTGAGCTCTGTGCTCTCCTTTCCCACCCAAGCCTTGTGAGTGAGGGTGCTGCCCCCAGGACCTTCCCAGGGCCATCCTTGATGACTTTCCGGGTGACCTCTTGGGTGAGCCAGGGTTTAGGCAGCACCTCGGTGGCTTACACAGTTCAATCCCAAAGCAGCCTCACTGTGTCAGCACCCTGCACTCCCCGAAGGCCTCCTCTTTGTGTGCTCTCCCACTGGGCTGCCCAGGGATGTGGAGAGCCTGCCCAGGGCCTGCCCAGGACTCAGGCAGGCTGAACAACTCAGGCCCCAGCCCCTACCCTCTTACAGAGTGGCCTGCAGCCTGGGAAGCCCTCCCCACGATGCTCCCTGAACTCCAGCCTGTTCCTACCATGCCAGCCACACTAATCATGCTTCTCTCAGTCATCCCCCATGACCCTTGCCCCCCAGCCCTCCACAGTCAGTCTCTGCCCGTCGCACCTTGGCCTTGTCCCATGTCCAGCAGGTTGGTTCTGGTACTGCTTTGGGTCTTCCCAGCACCTTCAGGACTATCACCCCAGCACCCCAGACTCCACAGCCCCCTTGCAGCTGTGAGCACTCACCCACACCACTGCCAGTTTCCCTGGGCCCTACCTCCAGGCTCTAGGCCTCTGGGCCCAGGAAGGAAGGGAGCCCCCACTGTCCTGCCTCCCTCTGTAAAATCACAGGGGCACCCTCTCTACCTCCTACGGTGGTCAGGGACTGGCTGGCCTGGGAGGAGCCGGAGAGCCTCACCCGCCTCTCTGTGGATCCTGGTGAAAAACCCGTGGTGTCAGGCAGGCAGGAGCTAAAAATAAATCAGCTTGGGCAGAGGCTGGTTGGCAGTGGTGTCTCTGTGGGGAAAAGGGCTGCGGGGGGGTGGGGGGTGGCAGGCTGTGGCATAGCAGTAAGCCATAAGCCCAGGTCCCACAGGCTGAGCTGACCATATCTCCAACCCAGAGAGACTGAACAAAGAAAAAGGAAGCTGGTCTTAGGTCAGACTGCCAGGCAGCTGCCCCCAGCCACAGCCCCTCCTTCCAGCTGAGCATTGGTCGGCTCCAAAGCTTCCTCAGGTTTTCTGGGGGTACAAAGCAGCTTAACCCTGCTGAGCAGGGACAGGGCCCCAACCTGGCCATCTGTGTCTGGGCTCTGCCCTGTTCATTCCTTACCACAGAAGGGAACAGGGACAGCAGCTACTCCCATACAGGCTATCCTCAACCCCAGTTAGTCTGGCTGGCTACTTCCCCGGTATCCACAGGGCTGAGATGCCCTCAACACCAGGTAGCTACCAGCATCCCAGGGCCAGGGAAGAAGGGGGGTAGGTGAGCCCCCAGGACACAGGAAGCCACAGGAAGCCATGAAAGGCTGAGTTGGGCACAGAGCTTCCTGGGTGGCATGAGGCCAAGTCTGTAGGGCACATATCTGTTAATGGCTGGG